ATTCATGCTATATGTACAACCAAAAAAAGATTTTGTATTTCCATAAGTGGGGTAAAACTATGGAATAATTTAAGTGTGGACATAAAAAATAGTAATAGAATTGACGAGTTTAAACATAAATATAAAGGTATGTGTCAATCAAGATATATGCAAGAACAGGCTCAATGATTAATTACATGGACAATTGTGGGTGTGGTGTACATTTTGTAACTATTCTTTAGTATATTACTTGTGTGATGTAAGAATGTTAACACTGTTATATTCTTTTTTTAGTATAATATGTGTGTGTGTAGAAGTGAATCATTTACTGCTTGCAAACCAATGATGGTAAGATGATGTCATGGGGTAGGACTGGATAAGTCTGACTTCTTCCTACTCCATTCAAGCATGTACTAGGTATAAGCAAATTGATATTGGATTATGTGTAAAATTATGTGTGTTGTCATATCAACTGTTTTTACATGCTTGAAAGAATAATTCAAATCAAATCAATTAGCAAAACAGTTTGTTTGTGGTGCTGAGAAGAGGGAAGTATCTTGTTCAGTGTACTTTGGGGGAAGCAGAAAATGTCACAAGCCAAGGATGACAGAGCAGAGTTCACATTCTGAGGGCACTCAAGAAGCCCATCTATTGTCTGGTGGTCCGCTGTGCAATCTGGCTGTATTTGTACTGACTGAATATCACAGTGCTCATTGACTGTCAGAGAGTGGGACAATGGACCTGTGAAGCCTGTCTGACAGTGTTTGCATGGATGTGTACACATGAGTGTGTGAGAGAAATGGAGGGAGACTGTGAGTAATGCAGTAATACCAGACTGGTCTGTCACAAGACTGCAGTTCTGAGAATCAGTGAATCTAAGCTTTGCAATGATGTGTGTGTCAATGTGTAGAAGTGGGGGTTATGGATGGACATGATTAAAAGGTGACAGGAAGTTAACGACATGCAACCAGGACAAATAACTGATTAAGACTGATGCTGTGGAGGTCACCGAGCTGACATGTTCACTAAAAGTTGTTCGTTTCCTTTGTGTGGATCAGAGAAGGGCTAGCTCATGTTAACACACTGCTGATTGTGGACATTGTTTGTACAATCATTCGGGTTAGTTAGCAAAGCAGCCAGAGTCACAGATATCAGAAGACAACAGGCTGCTAATGCTGGCTTGTTTAAAATGCTCTTATCAGTGTACCAATAAATAGTTTTCTAACCAACTAGCTAAGCTGATGTTATCCCAAAGCTGCATTAATTGCTTGCAAAATCCTTAGCAATATGCCAAACCACCCCCACACACATATTTACCACATTTCCATACTCAGATTATGTTAAGATAGAGATAGTGATGGTTTATGAACACAACCAGCTGTTCTTATCTTCAGCAACTAATTCTTACATTTGAGATATTGTAATCTGTGATATTTTGGTTAAAATGACTTTAATGTCAAAGTAGTTGCTAGTTAATTCTCTGTTAACTGAACACATTGCAGCTCTAGAGACTGTTGTTGTTTTAATTCTAAGAAACGAAGTGGCCTGATGTTCCTAATATGCTGCATTCCTCATGAATGTCCCTGCAGACCCATATTCTTTGCTGAACTTGATGTCCTGCTTATGGGAACTGCTGTAGTCATAGACAACCAGGTATTGTAAATCAGCTTAATGTGCACTGATTTGACATAAAATGCTTTGAGAGTCAAGATAAACTTTGCTCATCAGGGTGCAGTGGATATCTGGGAAGTTATTTGATAGTGTAATTTAAGTGCCTTTATTAAAAAATGAGTGGCACCTTATGGAACATAACTGTACATTTTATTTAGGGCTGCAAGTATTTTTCACTTTTGAATCATTTATTACATAGTCCAGTTTTTCCACAACCTTTTTTGGTCAAGTTTGTACTTATACACCTAGAGTGGAACAATTGTACATGTCCATTGCTATTAATTTTCTTAGATACATAACTATCTCAACTACAGTATCTTTAGCAAACAATTTCAACATGTATGTGTTACTTTGAGCTATTTCAACCAATTATCATTAGTTCTAGTGTTTTTGCAGTTTATCCATTTCTTGCCAACTATTTTAACGATATGGAAGTTACTAATCTGCTTTGTAGCTCATGAATATCTCTGAGGACCCATATTCAAATGGATGATATCCTGTTTATAGGATCTGCTGTATGTTTTATTCATATATCAATTACTGTACATTTATCTAACTATCTTGGTTATTTATGTGTTGATCATCAGAATGGTTGCAGAAAAACATGTCAAATCTACTCATGGAACCGCACCACCTGTATTGTTATTATTAGTATTAGGGGTACCTTTTTAAATTGCATGAGTATAATTATCGGTAATCTCATTTCTTTAAGCTTTAAATTAAACCACAAAGGCTTAATGTGTGTGTTTGCATATAGCTGATAATCATCTTAGGTAATTTCCTCCTATATCACTGTGACCACTGAGTATATTTGTGCAATAAGGTTGGGTTTCTAAAATGACGGAGCTAATATTTTTGTGGAAATCTTTCTCTGCATTTCACAGCATTATTTATGAGCATGCTGTACGTTTCCTTCCTTTTTTCCTACTCTGTCTGATGAGCTCTTTGTTTTATTTTGTAGTGCTCCCAAGACTAATATATCCCGCACAGTGCATGTAAGCTGCTACAGTGCATTGTTTTCCATTGTCTGTTACAGGGAGAAGAGCGAGGTCATTAGCCTGAGGAGGCACAAAGAGATGTTTCACATTAAAGCCGTGCTGTGCAAGCGTACATTCTTTCTGTCAAGTTCATACACATAAGGAAACACACAACACTCAGCACAATACAGTGTACATAATGCAGGTGTTTCCTGTTCAGATATGATGAATCACGTCGTCATCCTCCCCACTTTTCAGATGGGTTTCCTTTAACTTAGGGTTGCCTTTATACTCCACACAGGAAAAAGTGCAGTAGAGCATGAACAGAGTCCAAGTAGTGACAAAGGCTTC